ACTTAGTTTAGTTCAATTTTGCTAAGCTTTGAACCATTCTCTATTCAGCAAGTATAACATCCTTATTTTAAGTAAATAGTTTAATGTAATTTCATTAAGCTATATAGTCTTTAGGCCACAGTCCTCTCTAGATCCATAAAATATTTCACAATAGATCAGATATTAGCATTATCGATGGCTTTTCTTATAAGGAAAGCCAGACTATGACTTACTAGTATCTAAAGTAGAATCAAGAACCAGCACCTACAGCAGATCTCTCTCCATTCTGCATGGATTAACAGTTGAATCTCTGCACATTTAGTTCCTTTCTTTTTTTTATACTTATTCATTTTATATTTTATTATGTTTTTAATTTTTAATTTCATAGTGATTTAATAATTATTATTACTCTGATCTTTATTAATTGTTTCTCAGGCACACTATTTCCTTGGCTCAGTTTCCTAAGGCGATTCTCCATTATGAAAACTTTCTATGTAGTTTCAGAAACAGCTACTCAGCCTTCCTGGGAATTGCAAACATGACCATGACATTGTAAGGGTACAGTAAGAAGAGCTTCCCCCAAGGGATACCTTAAGGGTTGCTAAAAGGGGACAAATATATTTAAGTTCTACCAACTACTGCCTCTGGAGCACTTTGAGGCAGATGAAACTGAAAAGAAGGACCCCTTATGGTCTGAAAGCTACTACTTATGTTTGATTTCCCTTGTACATCCCACAGTGCTGGCAGTGCCTTTTAATCACATAGGCATACTGCTACCTGCATAACCCACTGCTTAAACAGCACCTGTCATGGTCCGAGGAGGCTGTGCAGTGTGAAGGTGTGCTAAGGTAGAAAATTGCTCTTCTTGGGTTACTCACAGTTAGCCACAGCAGCAACAAGCAAAAAAAGATGTGACCTAGACACTGACTCCCAAGAAAAGCTACTTATACTTTCTGGGGGAAAGAAAAATCATATAGACTGACTGAAATACACATTTTTTTCACTATAGTATTGGTTTCAGTGTGGACATTGCATCGAAATCATGCCAGCCCAGCAGATCTGACATTGTTACCAAAGAACATGTGTAAGAGAGAAAAATGTACCATCACATGCATATATACCAGTACATTCACTTCATATGCATAGGTACAGCATTCAGCAAGGCAGCACTTTTGGTGCCTTTATCACACGTGAATCCCTGGTTAGGCTAGACTTACAAACACAAAGAACAATACCTCTGTTTCAGGGAAAAAATGCTTATCCTTTAGGAAGCCCTCAATAACTGTTCTTTCTTTTGCATTACAAAAATCTGTCCATGGTATGGATTGTGTGCATGTCTATATTTAGCTCTGATCTGAAACTAGCATCATGCCTTAATTTGTTACTCAGCCTCAGCAAAACCACAATACCACACAGGTTTCATATACTCCTCCTAGCCACTCTCCATGACATTTACAGTGCATATCAGAATGAACGAGAGCCTACCTTTTATGTACTGCGAATGAATTGAGCAATGCTCTTAGCTGCTTGTCTGTCTCCTTCCCCAGCTGAGATGACTTCATGGGTACGTCTCTTCTGATCCATTCAAGCCTCCAGTCAAATAGATTAAACCACAGCTTAACCTGGCTTTGAATTCGAAAGGAAGAGAAAGGGGGCCGACAGCTGGATGCTGGCTTCAGCTGGGAAACAACAGCACAACCTCTGCTGGCTCCCTCCTAGCTGAAGCTCACATCTGCTAGTGCAAACTTTTTTTTCCATTCTGCTTCATTAGCCAAGTTTATGCAGGTGGTTCTGATCTCAGCCAAGAAGGGCAAAAACTAACATCAACCCTTCCACACTTAGACCAGCAACTGCTGCAACTGCTGCGACTGCAGTGCCGAGACTGACTTCCAGCTGCTGCCTTTCTCCTCTGCTGTCTTCCACTGGCAAGAAAGCCAATAGTCAGCAGCGGAGTAACAGAGAGAAGCGTCTACCTGGGTAGCCACCAGTCTCCCTGGGAAGTTGCCACATATTAAGTTAATTTTTCAGTGCTGCACTGGAACTGAGCAGATGAGGAACACAGTGGTCTTGACTGGGAAGCAGTGGACATATGTCTGGCATGTCCATAAACTCACTGGGCCTAAGACGAAGGCAGGAGTCTAAGTCACACATTCTGTGGAGTTAAGCAAAGATATTTTTCCACTTTGAGACACACTTCCCTTTCTTTTTTTTCTTTTTTCTTTTCTTTTTTTTTTTTTTACCTTGGCCAATGATGTTTACAAAAATACAAAACCAAGCAAAGAAATAATTCAGTGTAATTCCTCTGACACATCACTCAGTCCTAGTTCTGGCTTCTTCATAATCCCACCTCTTTTCTCTCCTTTTCTGTGGTTACAATACATTCCATTTGCACTCCTTTCATTCAGAATCTCTTTCATTTTGTTAGGGTTCTGTTGTCCACAGCTATTTCTCTCTTTCTCCTTAGTTAAGGCAAACCTGGCAGACTTGCAACTACTTAAAAGTAATCCACATCAGAGCTAATATATTATTTATTGCTCCTTGTTTAAGACCACAGTATTTTTGTGCTGAGAACTCTGTAATAATTCAAGCCCACTTGAGTACTCGGGACAGAGACTCAAATCTCTTATCCCACCTCTCTCTGGAGGACAAAAAAACAATGTACAAGCAATAGCCAATGTTCACTGACACTCCAATGATACATATATTACCCATTCTGAGGCTCCTTAGTTTTTCTTCCTAATTTGTTTTGAAAGGAGAATATAGGACCCTATAAGAAGAAAATGTTGCATGTTGAGCTGTAATTCTCGCTGATGTGATGCCAAATAAAATGGCTTTGCAAGACACCTAGATTTGATTGATGCATTTCTGTCACTCCTTACCACCATGATTTAGTGTGATGTATGAGAGAGAGACGGTTGCTGTCCAAGGCCGCTGAATTAACAGAACAAATGTCACAAAAAAGGGGTAAGGGTAAGGACCAGCTTGACGTAAGAATATGATTCTGACAAAGGCCAGTCAGAGCAGAACTGCTAGTTATGTGGGTTTTATGAACTGCTAAGTAAAAGAATGTATCATGTAGATATTCTTCTGAAGATCCTGGAAGAGAAACATGGGGGAAAATCCTGGCCTTTTCTGAAGTAAACACCAAAATTCCCATTCACTTTGTTAAACCGGGACTTAATTCCTTGATTGAAGCAGAAATCAGTTTTGAAGGTGGGGGCAACAGATGGCTGAGCCAGGATTTGGGACACAGATTTCAGGAGTGTAGATAGGATTCAGAAAACACCGGCAATTATGAATGGAACTAATAACTGAGCTGGCAGATATAAAACTCCTGAGATATATCATGTCATTTTCAAATTGAACATCATTAACTACTGTCTTTCTAAATATGTTTTTTTTAGTTTCTCAGTAGAATAAAAATTTCATACAATCACATTTACTATGACATCATAGAAAGAACTAATGGCCTGTTAAAAGAACTATTTTGAAAATAATGAAATTCAGAAGATATTTCTAAGCGTTTAATATGCCTAGAATAAAAACATTAGTTTGACTTTATCTGAAACTCATTTCTGTGTATCTAATAATATGTTTTTTTTAGTTTCTCAGTAGAATAAAAATTTCATACAATCACATTTACTATGACATCATAGAAAGAACTAATGGCCTGTTAAAAGAACTATTTTGAAAATAATGAAATTCAGAAGATATTTCTAAGCGTTTAATATGCCTAGAATAAAAACATTAGTTTGACTTTATCTGAAACTCATTTCTGTGTATCTAATAATAATGTCACAGCATAAGATCACAAATATCCATTACATTAGTTTGACTTTATCTGAAACTCATTTCTGTGTGTCTAACAATAATGTCACAGCATAAGATCACAAACAAATCCATTACATAAATTTTGTTAATATGATAAATATTAAAGCACTTTTAATGTGCAACAATTTGCTGTAAAATGGCATTTTGACAAATAAAAATGGATTAGCAAAATAACTATCAAAAACTACTGGTAAACATAACCAAAAAACTATATACCACTTAAGAAATAAAAACTACATAGCTTTCCATGTTAAATTTAGAGTTAGGAAATGCTTTCATTTAAATAAGGAAGAAATCTGTATATTTCTTGCTGTGAGAAACTGTTTCGCATATACACTATTTATAGTAACAGCATTGCCTTCAGCACTATTCGTATGTGACTAATATGAGCATTGAGTAGAATTAGAAAACCTAATGAGACCAGGTCAAGATCTGTGAAATAATCTACAGTTTACAGGGTAAAAAACCCAATCTGGATAAGAGAAAAAAATGGTATGAGCAAACAATAGATTTTTTTGTTCTGGTTTTGTTAAATTAGTGGAAGTTGCTTGATGTTCAGTATCTGGAAAAATGAGGCCATTTAATCAGCTTCCTAAAGTTGCCTAATCTCAAGACCTCGATTTCTGTTTGAATCTCAGTCATTGTACTTTTGAGTTGGAACAGTTTGAATGGGGCTAAAGGAGAGATTTAGCAGAATCTCCTATTGATAACCCACACTGATCTTAGTACATTTTTCCCAAATTCATTGGATTAAAAAATAAATTTTTAAGCTTAAAATTGAACCAAAAGATAAAGGAGATTTTGTACAATGGGAGATGAAGCCTTTTCTTTGAATACAGCAGTATTTCCAAACACTAAGTGGGATAACAAGTGTGATTGCACAGAGGAACTTTCCTATGTCATAATGATTTGTGTTTCAGTCATCTCTTTGTTTTTATAAGGAAAGAAGAGTTCCAAAGCTTATCGAATTCTTAAATTTTCAGTTTTTCTGTCTGCTTTCTTTCCAGTAAACACTCCTGTCATAATGGGGACTGTACGTATTAAAAATCACTGAAGAGAAATCAAAACATTCATCTTTCATTAGACAACAAATATATTTGATGGAGTGTAAATTCTTTAGAAGGTGCACTAAATGTCGACAGTAAAGAACATTCTATTTCTATTGAATAATTCTTCTTTGTTATAAAAAGGAAAGTTTACATGTATTGAAGTCCGATTTCACCTTGAGAGGCAGATGGGTTACTATCTCATCCAGATGTACATACCGAGTCTCTTGATCGTCATTCTCTCCTGGGTGTCATTTTGGATCAATATGGATGCAGCTCCGGCCAGAGTGGCTTTAGGCATAACAACTGTACTGACCATGACAACACAAAGCTCAGGTTCACGAGCATCTCTTCCAAAGGTAGGCAGAATTTCCTTTGTTTGTACTGCATTAGTCATAATGCTAGGTGGCAAATAAACACCTTCCATCAACCTTATAATATGTGTTTTAATTATTAGCATTTAAGCGTCTTCTAAAGGAGATAAATAACTTTAAAATATTTAGGGGTTTTTTGAGCCACCAATCAAATATATTCTGTTTCTCTCCTGTCTCAACTATTTAACCAACCACATATCTACTAAATTCCATAAACCTCAGCAAGCGATGAAAGCAATGTTATTCAATACCACATAAATGCTGCTTGTTAGCAATTGACTAGCTCATCCTTTTCCAGATCCCAGTATCTGATGACATGTTAGCAAATATGACTGAATTTCTAAAGGTCATAGATTCTAACCTGTTCTCAATGATATTCCTTTCCCCAAACCTGCCTACATTATGAATTAACTCACTAGTTACAAACACATTTACATTAAAATGTAGGAAAATGTGAAGCTAAATAGCTCCAAACAATTGTATAAAGAATGGTTCACTACACAATGTAAATAGCTTAAAGTGTATTTCTATGATTAACTATTTAAGTTTTCTGACTTGTCATTGCTTTAAAAATTTTCTTTTTTATTTTAAGAGTTATTCCTTGACCATCTTCATGTGCCATTGCAGTTAATAGAAATAAAATGCATACAATAAAAATACACAAAGTCCATTTCTGTATTAGTTTTAACATGGTATTTTTAGGTTGGCTGATTAAATTTTTCTCTAAGTAAAATAGGTACCCTTAACAGAGGTGAGTGTGCTTTGCGCCTCAAGTATATGGATCCAAATGCATCAGAATGTAGCATCACAGATAAGAAAATGGAATGCCATAAAAACTCAGAAAAGCAAGAATGTAAGAGGTTACCAAAGAGAGCTACAGATGTTTTTGTCACATTTCTGTAAGCCTGAAGCTAGCTACGTTGGCTTATATGACAAAGCTTTTGTAAATCTGCACACAGAGAGGGAACAGGCCCTACTTTCCCAGTGCAGATTATGTCCTGCAGCTGAGCTTGGCAATAAAGGATTGCAATGAGTTCATCTACTCTGTAGTTGATTTTCAGTACTTCCACTGTGTCAAAATTACAGGACTAATTTGAACCTATAACTTTGATTTACCATGCTATACTAGCAGAGAATGAACATATCAGAGTTCTCCATCTATCTCCCTTCTTCTACCTAATTTCTATTCCAGGAATTTTAAATCAGATCAGTTATAATACAGGAATTCCCACTATAAGCTATCCTCCGGTTCCTTAGTATCATTCACAGATCTCAGTGGGACAAATGGAGGAAGAGCATGTGCTTCTTGTGGGTTATTTGTTTGTGATAAAATACACAGTAAATTATGAGGAACTGTTAATGTAAACAGTAAACACATTTTGTGAAAGACTACATTTTAAAATAATATTTAACCCTTATAGATTGAGTTGTTGTCCTTCTTATTATCTAGCTTTCATGTTAAGTTTTGTTTGATAAAAATAGTGTTGGGATCTGGATATATTAATGCACTTCTTCCTGACGTGAAATACTAAACTTCACATCTGTGGTTTTAACATATTCAGTTATCTGCTCTATTCTCTCCATAGGTGTCATATGTCAAAGCGATTGACATCTGGATGGCTGTGTGTCTGCTCTTTGTATTTTCTGCACTTTTGGAGTACGCAGCTGTAAACTTTGTGTCAAGGCAGCATAAAGAACTTCTGCGATTCCGCCGTAAGAGGAAGAAGAACAAGGTAAAAGTAACAGCATTCACAACTTTGAAAGAGAGTCTGAGATTGATTTATACCAGGATATAGGGTTAATTTGGTAAACATACTGCAGTTTAAAGTGGCAATATAAATAAAATGGCAGCACAGAATGAAATTCACTGTAGGCAGAGTCACTACAGGACTATGCACTGCATAAATCCAACTTGAATTCTAGAAAGAGGGATTAAGAGGGATTTAAATGAGGCATGGGCCATGTGGGAGCCATCTGCACAAGCATGAATTTCACTCTGTTAGAAGAGTCAGATTATACTTCAGTGGATGAGTGTTACTGGTACATGCAGCAGTTTGTACTATATTGAGATTCAACAAATAATGTTTCTAATTTCATTCTAGTATTCAGTTCAAAGGCTTAACAGCTGTGTTTCATATAAATATTTTTTTAATACAAAAAATACTTATTCAGTTAATATTATTGGCAGAAGAACAAACATTTTACTTTAAAAGGCTGAGAAGTTTTGGTTTTTTTCTTCTGTCATGTTAATTTAGTGTAAATTGTTCATACAACTAGTAAGAAATTTTACTACAGCAACAGTTATTAATATTTATTTTATAGCTGAAGCTATCTAGACTACCAGTAAAATAAGTCACTACTAATGTGCAAAGCCAAACAGCTAAGGCTACAGGTTTGAATTCTGAAGTCCGCAGTTAAATAAAGCAATAAGCAAAATTTCTTACAACAATATGTAACTCCTACTTCCGATTTTTCAAAGAGTAAATATTTCTCCAACCTACTCATTAAATGAGTACCCACCGCTGATGTCACAAAGAGCCTTTCCAGTGGCTTTCAGTCACTATCTAGAATATTACTGTGGATGAAAGTCTGACCGTAGCAACATGACTCAGTTCAGCCGTCTTTCATTCTTGAAGACGTTCCTCATTTTACTGCTTACATCACAAGGAGAAGACATTTTGCATGTTGTTTCCCTTTTACTTAGAAGATACTGAAAATCTGTAATGCTGTAAAGCCTACCTAAGCAGCCTCTGCTAGCAAGACTCCATGTTAAAAGGCAGGCTGGACAGTCAAATGAAAATGACATTTTCATACATTTGCCTGTTTCCTGTGTGTCGAGTCCTAGACTTTTTCAGGTGCAGAGAGAAACTCATGTACTGTAGCCTAGAGGATGATTCAGACTGCATGTACCTGCTTTCAACATTTGTCCCTGTGAAAAATGTGCTTTTTTCTTTTCGCTGACAGTAGCAGAAAAAACACTTTCTGAGACACACAGGAGGAAAGCAGCATGTTTGTGACAGGGTGTTTGTTTTTGAAATATGGCATCTCTCTGAAAGCTGCTTAAAGGTTTGGAATGGGGGGAATGGGATGGGCAGAGACGGATAACCGGACAGGGGACAGGTGAGCCACAACAAATGCATCATGTATCAAATACAAACAGCTGTGGTGAGTGATATATTATGTGACTATACTTTCAGTCCTTTCTTTTTTTCACCATGTATTATAGTGTCTTCTGCATCTCAGGCAAATTCACCATATTCGACTTTAGTGATGTCTTTTCACTTCCTTAAATACAGGTCAATTATAACCACAGGGTTAGAAACTGGCAGGTAATACCTTCCTTCCTCAGAATCAAACCAAAGCTCTTTCCAGCCCCCTCTTAGCAAGACTTCAGACTCACCAAAGACACTTCTTCAGCAATCACAATCAAATTTCAGTTTAGAGGTATGTGAGGAAGGATCCACAATATACAAAGTACTTCTAAGAGAAGACCACTTAACAAAAAAGTATGCACGTGAATAGTCTCACTGACTTAAGTGTTCTCCTGGATCAGTGCTTGACATAATGGCATTTTTGAATTCACACTTAAAAGTCCTTATTCTAATTTTACACTTAACTAGACAGTCTTCTAGCTTCAGGTAGGTTGTCTGCTAGGTTCTCATAAAATTAGAGGATTAGACTTAGAGACTGCAGGGTCTATAGTAAAGTATCAAGTACTCCCCTTAGATTCTGAAGGATGAAGACATGCATTTCGATCCTTTTCTTCATAACATACCCAGGTGAGGGTATTAACTGTATTCAGGCATATATGGCTTTCCCTTCCTCCCTCCCCTTTCCCTCCCATCCGTATGTTTCATCATGAGACAGGTTTCTCAGCCTAAATTTACCAAAAAATTCTTTGTTCCCATACAAGGTTATGATTTTGACAGACATTTTTCTGAAAAGACTGATTTAACTGAACTTTTCTTGACTGACTCCAATTCTGTGTAGAGCTAGAGCTCCTGGTCAGAGTTAACCTTTGAGAATACACCTACTCAAGCTCTAGAGACAGCTCAGCTAATTGCTTCTCTTTTTCTCAATGTTTTATTAAACCATTCCTTGCCCAACAAGTATACTAGAGCTTGAAACATTACAGCATGGAGATTTTATCTCTTCAAAAAATTGGATCGCATCCTAAACCCTCTGGTATACAAATAATAAATAATGTCTTATGGATTAAGAAAGCAGTTAATAACTAGCCTTCCTTACCACAAATGTTATTATTTATTTACCACAATTTCTAACATGAAATGCAGGCCCTAGGATCATAAGTCAGATTAACTTGTGTTTCCTTCCTCTTTTGTCTTTTTCAAAGTCAGTTATTATAGCTCATGATTATAAAGTTTTGTATGTGTTTGTTATCCCTTTGGACTAGGTCAACCAGCCACTGGCTCTCAGGAATTAGATTGTATTGACTTTTAAAACTACCATGTATAAAGAAATGTTCATTTGACCACAAAGTCAAAAGACACGAAAAGAAGTTAGGTTAAAAGGCTACGTTTAAAGTAAACTTCAGGGGCTTCCTTGAACATTAAATCCTCTTTCTTTTCAAAGTGAAAACTGCTATTCTAGTCAGTATTTAGGTCCAAATGGATTAGAAATAGAGCGGTTAGGATAAATTATTAGACTTTTTCATCCTATATGCTTACCATCTTGGGACATTTTACTAGGATTAGGCTTTTCTACCAGGTGAATTCCAACTGATGAATACAAAATTTTTTGGCACTGGCATTTTATCTGCAAGAGTACAGCAAAATTTCTAGTGATTCAACTGTTGCAAAAGTCCAAAAATAGATGGGTTTGGAGATGTTTCATTTCAGGTATATGTTGACAGAAGAGAACATGTATGAATAATATATGATTGCAATAGGGCAGCTGAAGAATTTCCAAAGTCTATTTTCTTTGTAATTAAAAAGACATGCTTGTTGCAAGAAATATTTACTTTTACCAAGTAACCCTAGCAATGGTCAGACGATTGAGTTTCAGTGCCGGAATGCCCTTGGGAGGTCAGTGAATCCATTTTCCTGACCTAAGTCAGGATCAGTTATACCTAATTCATCCCAGTCATAAAAATTCCACAAGCTCCCCTGCAATCTATTCCAATGGTTTAGACAGTTTTTTACTCATGCCTTTTTTGGCCTCTCATAGCTTCTCTAGAAGGGGCACAGAGAACTTCATTCCTTTATGTGGCCATTTGCACATTTCTATTCAGTCTTCTTTTCTTTAAATATTCCCAGTTGGTACAATCTTTTTTTTGCTCATTCTCCTTCCCTGGAAATTCTCCTAATAAGTCCATATAATTCCTCAAAACTGTTTGCAACATGAAGCTTAGCCAGTAACAGTTGAGAGCAGCCAAAACATCACATCATGCAAGTTATACACTGGTTTATCCAAACCAGTTTGCCATTTGCCTTTTTAACAACAGCATGGTATTGACCCATATCAAGATTGTGACCTTCCATAACTCCCAGGTCTTTTTCCAGAACTACTGCAGAGCCATTCATTTTCCATCTTATGTTTGTGAATTTGATTATTCCTGGCTAAATGTAGTATCTTGTATTTGCACCTACCGACTCTCCTGTAGTTTTCAGACTCTTTGTCCAAATCATTGAATTCAATTTTAACTCTAAACGTATCCTCAAACAATTTTGCAGTTTTTCCAGGTTGGAGTCTTTTGTAAATTTAATTAAAACTATGGATTATTCCTTCTCAATACTGATTAAAAACACAGGAGAACTGAAATCTCTCTCTTAAAAAGCATATGATAGAACTTGGATAAAACCCCTGCAGTAAACGAGTGTAGCAAACAAAATAAGAGCTGCTGAGATTTATGGAAAATTATACAGTTATACAAAATGTAATTAGGTACGGAGCTGTATCAAGACATTTTGGCATCCAAAGCTCATCTATCCTTGCCATTTTCCTTATGCCTTTTCCACTTACAGTCACTGCCTCTTTCTGACACCATCTAGTACATCTGCAGCTTCCCTTCGCAGACAACCGTAACAGCAGCATCAAAGGCAATTCTTAGGTATAACTGCACCCTCTGGCTATCGTTTTTTATGGTTGTAAGTATGGACCTCACTCAATGATTCCAAATAACTGAAAGGCAGATTTCTTTTCAGAGGCCCAATCCAATTTGTACAGAATTAACAAAAATTTTGAAGTGTCCGGGATTGTGTTATAAACACATTTATAAATAAAAACTGTTATTGCAACATAATATGCAAATTACTCATTGCTGTTTTCCAATAGGCGTCACAATAGGTATAAGATATTGTCCTAGTTTCAGCTGGGATAGAGTTAATTTTCCTCCTAGTAGCTGGTACAGTGCTGTGTTTTGGATTTAGGATGAGAATAATGTTGATGATAACACA